GTATATGAATCATTAAGTGGAGACTTTTTGACTGCTCACTGTTGCAGCGAAACTTTTAACAAGAATGGTTTGCAGTCGTTAGTTTTGAAGGAAGCTTAGTCCTTTACCCGTGGTCTCTATATTCAGTATTTTTTAAAGTTATAAACTACCTTCGGTAGTTTCTTGTTACCTTCGGTAAATGCATCTGTACAGAGGACAGCGTAAATCTGAATTATGGCCCAATTCTTGAAGAAAACAGGCGAGGACATTTTAGTGCACTTGGGTTCCTGACTGCATAAACTGGATGGACTGTTGCTGTAGATTTTCTGTGCAACTCAGATCTTGGTGTAGTGGAATTTTGAGCTGCATAGCATGAGTAAAATCTGAATTTTATTTCTGCGTTATAATCGATGCCGTACATATGCCTGTACAGAAGAATAACAATTACCAGTGATCTAGGGATCAAAACCGCGATGCTTAAGAGTCGCCTTTGACTATTACGTAATACAAATTGATTTCCCTAAGTGACACTGTATGACGACTTGCAGCTGTTTTAACGCACTTAGTGACAGGCGACAGAAACAACATACGGCTGCGTAGTAAGCTTCTAGTTGTTCAGAATTAGCTGTGCAACTCCTTTCGCACAGGTATATTCCCGCTGCAGTTATTATAATAATGGTATAATTTGTAATATTTTGGCTGATTCTGACTTTTTTAACGACAGTACATTCAAGCATGACCAATGCTACACATATGCATTACAAAGTATTGTTTGTCTGTTCAACGTTCGTTAAGCCTAAGCCACCACCGTTATTCGTTAGTTTTCATCCGTTAATGAGCGTTCGCCGTGTCGACTTCATTTCCAAATTTGTCATTAACAAATACCGTGATCTTGTTTAGACGCAACAGCTTCATCATGTCGTAACCAACACGTGTATGGAAATGACGTCGGACGCCATGCGGCTGATCATGGGTTCCTGCGACTCATCGAATATCAACCAGAAGTGGGTATTCTCAAAGTTTAACAAGGACAAGGCGCTGAAAGCCGGTTTCAAGGTCGACTAGCATAACTGCCCTAAGTGGCCGGCCATTGGTCCATGTCTCTCTGACTTAATATTGTTTTGCGGTCAATTCTTCGGTTGACCGCATACAGACGGTTCGCGCTCCTCGGAAGTCGCCCTCTCATTTATAGCTTGGTCTTTACTCGCTGTACAGCTGTTTTTTTACATTTCGATTCGTGTTTCATTCCTTTGTATTTTTATACAGACGTGCTCTTATGGACTTTCACTAAGCATTACTGTACTCTAAACGAGTTTTCGTTTCTTTTCGTTTCGTTTTGGGCGGTGTGCCAAAATCGTTCGTTGTTGATTACGTTTGTTTTTAATTTGACTTTGTTTATATATCAATTGTTATTGCTGTTAAGTTACTGTTGATTCTCCCCGGCTCGTAAAAAACGTCTGACGCCTCCCTCAGCACTTTCGTTCGACGTGCCCTTCCCGCCTGAACATCGTCCCGGTGGCTGCGACGCCACGCACTTCTGACGGTTGTTGGTACACGCGGTTTGATGTATTCTGTTGCTTACGCGTGTTCTTGGCAAAACTGAAGTATCTGTGATCAAAACTAACTTGGTTTTGATATGCTTTTTGTTCTTATTTTATGTACAATTTTTATGATAACAGCTAAAAGGTACTCTGTACAAAAGTAGCCGGTAGAAATCGCCTGCAAAATGACAAAGATATTAAAGTTAACTGGATAAAAATTTCGCAGTGCAACGTTAAATTTTACATTTACATTTACCTATTTCATTTTTAAATAGCTTTCGTGTTTCGTAGAAAGTGTTTTCTGTTATTCTACGTCATATTACACTGATTTTTAGCTTAGTTTAGCAGATGACATATCCAATTGAAATTAAAAATTTTAGCTTTACAATTTTTCAACGTCCACAAAAAAACGAACCCTTTCTGAGATATTATCTATACGATGGCGTACTGTTTATAAACGATATCACGAATTTTGTAAAAGTCATCACAAGCGAAACCTTCAATGTTTAGCTTGCCTATTTCGTTTCTCTTGATCGCCACCACGTTGTTGACGTAGAGTACACCAGCAAAGAACTCAGCTAAAAAACCATTAAGCATGAGCAACTGCTTGAGGTCTGAAAGTTTTGGGTCGTTCACGAAAACGGACGTATGCGCAGGAATCGAGGTAAAAGGTAAGAAATCGAGGGTGGGTGTTTCCAAGCGACTATCTCTGTCGAAATCTTCTTCGTCTTTAATCGAACGATGACCGGCTAGTTGGTTACGTTTCGATCCGGTATCGCTTTTGACGTCGTCTAAGTCTGACAACTGCTTGTTAATAACCACCCTTGCGTCCACCCATGCCAACTCGGCGTCCTGCAATGGCAATCATGAGCGATGAGTCAAATGCATATGAATTTTTTCTTACCTTCAGCGGTTGCAGTTCGAGCGAACTCATGAGCACGTCGGTCAACGTCACCTGGTATATGTGGCTCTCGATGGTCGCGTCGATGACCTCGCCTACCCGTGGCGTGAAGACCTTGCCCTGCACCAGGCTCAGAGTGTTGCGACAGTAATCTGCCAGATGTCGCGTTGCCTCTGGTAGGGCGTGGACAATAACTAGCTGTTTCGGTTTGATCTGCTGTAAAATCTTCTTCACTGATTCACCATCCGAACGACCTTCAAAGTCAATGTACGCAATTTTGCACAGCACCTCCAACTTCTGAACGTAACGGATGCATTTGGTTGGCACCTCGACTACGCCCATTTCAGGGGATGCTTGTGGAGCCGTATCACCTTCGAATGGATCCCGTTCACGCTTAATATCTGCCATCGGAAGAGCCGTGTCGACGATCATATAATCTTCTGGATGGATGATTTCACCGTAGTCATCCCACTGAAATCAAATTCATTGGAGAATTGATCAGAATAACTTTGATAGCAGATAAGAACAAACGGCATAGATGAAGGATAGGAATAATAGAGTAAGCAAACAAGATCAATGAGAAAATATACTACAAGAAAACAAGTAAAATGCGAATAAGTTTGGGAGACCTGGAGCGGATCTAATTAAATAATAGCGCAGATGTTTCTCTTAACTGTCAATTCCATCGAGCAAGACATTCATCTTATTCCTTCAGAGTAGGCAGCCAAAAGACAGGTAATAAGCACTGTTGACCTACATCAGACAATAGGGATAACATGCAGGAAAAATCTGAAAACTGACTAAATCAACATGTAAACTAATAGTGGAACTAGATTTTGTGCTAAAGTGATTTTGTGCTAAATGATTGAGGCGAAAAACTGGTAGCAGGCCGGTGATCTCATCGCCTGCGCTGAGGCTCTGTTGCTTCAGCGGTTGGAATAGTAGTTCCCAGCTGAAGATAACAGTGAAACACTATGGTATGAGAAACTTTCATTAAATAATAGTACATAACGTACAACACAATCGAATCGATCACCATTCACTATTAGAACTCATCCAAGTCTATCTACTGTTTTGTTGTTATGACATGTAGCAATGTCGTGACTGATGCACATAATCTATCAACGGCTAAGAATATGCTGGATCTTGTCGTGGCTGATCTTTACTCTCCACCAGCCAGTAATAAGGTCCCGGAAGCTGCCATGGCCAATCTGTAGCGACTCGACCAGGCGGTGCATAACTTTCAGCAGGCTACTTCTGGCCTGTTACGTAATCACGGCAAGTGATGTTACGGTTGGCAATATGCTTCATTACCTTATTTTGTTACTTAATTCTGACGTATGGACTACACTATCTGGGCCGATATGGCTAACTGCAGAGTGAGCCAACGTGCATTGCAGTCATACTGGGCATATATCAGACAACATGGTCGTAAGTAATGTAAGCTGTGCAATGACCGCACCGGAACACCATCATTAGCCGTTTTCTATCCACTGTCAGATGAAGGCCTTTAGAATAATTTTCCATAAACTTCCGCATTTTACGATTCTTATCCATGTTGATTCTACGAACTTCTTCAGCTGATCCAGCCGTCGATCTCCAGATCTTCGTACGAGCCGTCGACCCTGTTGGAATCCAGACTAACGTCGCTGTGGTGAGCGACGATCGGTTCTTCTTGAAACGTACGCTGCCCACTGTTATTTAAACTTCTTCACTCGTGCAGCGACGTCGCAAAAAATTATTTCTGTTCTTATTCATTTGCTTCTCATTCCTATTTTTAAATGTTGCGTCAAGCAGTCTGCAGTTCATGAACAGCTTTCAGGCTTACGGCCCGTGTTTCGTACTCATAGGCTAACATGGAGAGCATATACTGATCAAAAATTGGCTATTTCAAATACCAGGAAACTTTCGGTTTTCCGTTGCACAGATGAATTTTCCCAGAGAGACGTAGTTTTGCACTTTTTCAAGCCGAAGTCCGTTGGCTTAGGTCGAACGGTCATATATTTGTTAAATATGACCTCAGTTTTCTACATTCTTCAGCTCATTTTCAATCCAACTTTGATATTGGTGTCGTTCAGCTGTAGGATTCTTCTTTGAAGTTGATCTGGTGACACCGGCAGGATCAAAATAACGTCCACAAACCGAAGGTGCAATTATAAATCTGACGAATTCACATTTAATACTCGAAATATAACATTGCAGCACTTCTCAGCCGTATGACCTGGTGAAGTTTCATAAAGCGGGACATCTACTCCGGTTGAGCATCCCAGCAAGACAGACGGTAACCTACTCGATTTCAAAAAACTCCAGTTGCTAATAAAGCCCACTGTTAGCAGGATGGCTTAGAGAGTGAAGAAAAACGTGAGATTTTAGTCTGCATGAAGATATTTTAAGAGCAAAAATGTTTCATGATATCCCTGGATTTCAATGCTCTTTTTAATAACATAGATGCTAACACGCTGGTCGATATCCTACTGGAAATTTTGAAGAGCACTTTAGACGAGTGAACAAAATCTGAAAACGTGCTTAAAGACTATTCAATTAAGGAACTGATCACAATCATCCGTCTTGTGACGGCAGGCACAAATTTAAAATTTGTGAACAGTGTCCATCACCAAAAATATGGCGTCAAAATGGGCTTAAAAGTAAGGGTCGTTC